ACCACAACAACATTAAGGAAAATCACATTATAGTTTTAAATGTATTCTATAAATATATTTTACTTTTCAAGGGTTACCAAATTACGATGAAATCTACTATTTGTCTTTATATTCAACAAAATATTTATTTATTTTTTGTTATAACATTATGGTGAACCAAAAATTGAAATTTGTTGTTTTCTTTTCAAACACAATTAGGTAAAGAAAAACACTGTGATCTACGTAGGTGAGTTGGTGAAAAATGTGTTGCATATGCAATGGGACAATATCACCCACTAAATAGGTATCATTTTTCGAATGTATTAGAATGAAATCAAGATAACAACGCAACAATAAGAAATTTAGGAATATTTTCATCGCTACATTGTGATCGAGCAAGATCTTAATATTTATACGCTACTGTACAAGAGAGTAAAGTCTTATGAAAATAATAAAAGGAATTAATTGAAAATTTATATATATATATATATATATATATTTATAACTTATGAAAAGAAGAAACACAATTAGTGAAATGTTTATCTTTAATTTATTTATATTTTTACGATGTTTAATATTTTTATAACTTTTTTAGAAATATTCATTGACATTGACATTTTATCGATATTCTCATCTACATTTCCGTGAAATTGAGACTTTGACATTTCTACGTACATCAACATTAAAATCTTGTATAGCACTAACAAAACACATTGTTCATGTAAAACGTATATTTTAAACCTATCCCATCTCTTATATAATAATACGATTTACTTTTGTTATTCTTTTTTACAATACTATTATAAGAATCGTAATATCTTTTATAACAACCCAACCTTTTTCCTTCCCTCTACTTTTAATAAATAATTTAATTAATACTTAATAGGTGCTTGTCTTTCAAGTGCACTATTTTAAGCTAAAATGTTTTATGGAGGAGAAAATCAAAAGAAATGGACGATATTTATTTTATTTTTCTAGTTTTACTAGGTTTTTTAAAATGTTTTTTTCTTTAATTCCTCAACTTTATTATATCATAAGTTATATCAGAAATATTCTAATTATATCAAAAAGTTGTATCAATTGTATATCAATAGTACATCAAACGTATATCAAGTATACATGAGTTATGTATTAGTGGTATATCAGTAGTAAATCGATTAAATGATAAATCATATAATCATATAAAAAGTTATATCAATGGTAAATCAAAGGTATATCAAGTATATATCAAACATATATTAACGATATATCAATATTAAATCATAAAATCATATCAGAAGTAAATCAGTTGTATATCAGTAGTATATAAAAGGTATATCAAGTATGTATTAGTAGTAAATCAATAAATGGTAAATCATATAATCATATAAAAAATTATATCAGTAGATATCTAGTTATATTAGAGGTATGTCAGTGGTATATCAGTTGTATATTAAATTTATCATGTATCAGATATATATATCAATGGTAAATCAATAAATAGTAAATCATATAAACATATAAGAAATTATATTAGTAGATATCATAATTATATTGGTGGTACATCAGTTGTATAATAGTGATATATCAGTGGTAAATTATAGGTATATCAAGTATACGTCAGACATATATATCTCTGAAAATCTTAAAGAAATTGAACCCAACATCTCACAGTCTAGTCTAGGCTATTGGACCTTGGTGTTTTTGGCTAAATTAAGGGTAATTTTGAGATTTACTCACTTGGGCCTCCATTTTTTTGAAATATTTTGCTATATTTCAAAAAACCAAAACATGATTTCCATTTTACTTATTTTACTATTTTTTTTTTTTTTTGCCATATGTCAAGTTGGCGCAAAAAAAAAGTCCTCGAAGATGCAATGCGTGGAGGCTGGTGTTGTATATCAATAATTCAAAAGACAATATAAAAGTAGATGTCATGCAGATTACTTTTAAATTTTGTCATCTACTCTAAATTTTTATCTTCTTAAAAGTAGAAAAGTAGATTCCTCTGCTTTACTTTAAATCTTGTCTGTTCGATATTATCTTTTATTTTGTTAGTTTTGATTTTCGTTTTCAAATCCGAAGTTTATTTAAGGGTCCTCCTTATATTCTCAAAGGCATCCGAGCATGAGCTCTCACAGATTCTTATCTTGTGAAAAGCTCGAGCCCATTTGCCTTCTTTCTAGATCCCCTCCCAATCTTTTATGGTTAAAATTCTCTTTCGAAAATATTGCTATCTATGTCCAATCTTTTAAAAAAGATTATTCCAAAACTTTTTCCTTCTCAATCTTCTTCTTCAAATGGACAAGATCATGATCCAGAACTTGATGAATCCAACGATCAATCAAACCTGGAGTTCGTTCAAAACTACAAAGAACTCAAGCTCGGCAAGATCCAAGAGAATCTTCCAATTGGACTATCCCAAAGGTAGATCCCAAAACAATTTACAAATTCAGGACCTTTAGCTCTACTCATACCCTTCATATCAAAACCATTGAACAAAATGTTCCCATTTCAAAAAATGATTTAACTATTCATTTATTTCCATCAACAACTATACTAAAACATCGTGAAGAGTTTACACATCTTCACATTGGTTTAGTTCAAGTTGCAATCAAACCTTCGTTTAGATCAAGTGATTTAGACACCCCAATTTTTGTTACTCTTAGAGATAAGAGACACAAAAATTATTCAAATTCGCTATTAAGCGTCATTCAATTATCCAACCTGGAAAACGGCCCAATTTACTTCAACTGTTATCCAAATTTTAGCGTTTCCCTTCAAGATTCCAACATCCTTTTGTCGTTGATGTTGGATATTGACTCAAAAGGTTTAGAACCAGAATCAAACATCCACACAACAGTGGTCATATATCGTGTGTATTATAGATTAATGCACAACAATATCTCCTCGAGAGCCCTTAAATCCTCTCCAAGAGGATCAACCATACTCATGCAACCCAATAATCTCCAAAAAATTACCTCAACAAGGCAATCTTGGGATGAGATTATGAGAAATCCAAATTGGAGGATGGAAGACGATGCTTTTAGACCTCCTCCTCCAAGAGAATCAAAATCAGCTCGAATTATTGAACATGCTGATGGTAGTGTAAGTGTACAATTCATCGATCCATCTTCTAGTTCAGCTATTGGGCGCATATGGACAATCCCCAACTCAAGAAGTTCAAGTTCAAATCGTGAAGACTCAATCAATAATGTTCCTTGATCATGGAGAGTTAAATGTAGTCTCAAAACCGACTCTCCTAGGGAACAAGGAATCAAAAGAATAATCCTAGCTATTTTCAGAATATATTCAAAGGAAGAAACAATTCAAATTTCAAACGGAAGTTTGTATTCATTCATGGAAAGTTTTGGAACAAAATATTTCCATTTTATCAACAGGTATTTTCAATCAAAGACATTAGAAATGATGTCCCAACTTCCGACAAAATCCTGTCTAGCTAGTACAGCAGAACAGGTATACAAAATGAAGAAAAGATTCTTCTGTCTACTCAAATTTTATAATCTTCTTCTTGTGCAAATCCTGGCGCCTTAGCTTCCGTGGGAAACAACAGGAGTTTGAATCTCACCACAGAAGAGTTCAAGGCAGCCTTCAGTTATCTGGGTTCGAGGTACAGCGCCTTCCGAGCCCACCGAGGCCCCTCCGCACCACCGACGTGGCGACGGGATCATAAATTTGGAGGAGATGGGTAAGTTGATTGTGTATGGTAAAGGTTGTAACTATAGTCTTGGCTGAAACTCTCAGGGTAGAGTTAAGTTTGTGTTTTATGGAGGGGAAATATGTCTCTTCTATTGTATAATAAATAAACAGTAGTATGTGTGTGAGGTATTTTTATGTTTTAAAGATGTATATTATAAATATGTTGCAAGTGTTTTGAAGTAGGGTCCTTCTGAGGAGGACCAACTATATGTTAAGATTGGTAGGACTGTATTAAACTATTTCTATTTGTTTTAATGTCAAATGAGTTGATTATTGTATATTTTTTTTGGTCAAATTATTGTATACATTTGGCTACTGAAATGAAATATTTTCTTAAAAATAAAAGATCCAAATGAAGATAATTTGTAATAGTAAGCAATAAAACGTTTAAAATGTCGAGGTCCTATTTTAATGAAACATATTGATGAAAATGCCCACTACAAGAAAATGGAGTATTTTCAAACGTCACCACTCTCGAAAAAGTACAAAAAGAAGTCTTCAATTAATACTTTTTCAAAGAAAAAATTTTGCTAATATGAATTTCATGTTTTTCATCTCTTTTTGGGACGATATTTTGCTCCTCCCCAGTGTCAATGAGGCAAACCTTTGAAACTTACATGTACTACTAAAATCTTTTGAATTTGCATCTGGGCTGAGTATCAACTTGTACAAATCCTCTTTTTCAGGAGTTACTATTGATAAGCCCCATTTCCCCACTCCCTATGTTTCATCTTGGCATGCCTCACGGTGGAAACCCAAAAAGTAAAATATTTTGAATGTGTGCACCAGAAATTCGATAGCGGGAAGTTTTGCTGGGAATGACAAATATTAAAAGCTTTTGTTGTCCCATGTCGGAAGAATAACCTTTGGGAAATTGGTTTATAAGCATTGACTTAGTATTGGACTTATAAACTTGGTGTGAGGCAAGCCAAGACCAAGGCCCACACGTGCGCGATAGTTGAACGTTCCATCATTCAAAAATCAACAAGTAGATCGCCACGATATTTCTAAAACTAATTCAAGGATCATTTCCAATACTTAAATTTTCTAAATTTACTTTAAGACACCTATCTCGGCAATTATCATTTGAAAATCGATGCTTAAAACGACTCTTTAATTCAATAATTTGATATTTGAATCGTATTATGCAATGATACTCATTCTTACAATTTGCTCGAAGTGAGCTGACATCACATTGCTCTTCTGTGAAACTTCAATTCTACATTTAGCCAAAGACTGCAAAACCAACATAAACCAATTAGTGAGACCGTAAGGTGCACACAAAGTTTCACAAACCATGCACCTTTAACAATCTAATTTTAGAAAATGTCTACAATACCATCCTAAGAGATTATATTAGCAGATGAAAAATTTTCAACCATATGATTTGAGATACGAAAAATTGGACAAATGTTATCATTCTATACTTCAATTGCCAAACTTTAAAACTAAAATGTTACCTTTTTAAGGTCGCTTGATACTAATAAAATCACTTATCCAAGACAACAATTGAGAAAATAGAAAATAAGAATTGGCTGACAAGACATGACCCTTAACAGACTTCTCTTATCCATTTCGAATCTACTTATTTGGAATAAAGATAAAATATAAAAACACTAAAGACAAACCACATCAATAAAGTAAAACAAAAGTTACTTTAGTAAAAGTACAAATCCATAAATGAAAAATCACAAAATTAAAACAGGTGCCCAATTTATGCGCGGGATTTTCTTCAACTTCAGCTTCTCTAGGTATAGCTTATATAATGATGTTTTGTTTCTTCTTAAATGTTATCTTTGCTTTGTAGGTTGTAGTCACCTCAAAATGGTGAGAAGTATAAGTAATGATGAGACGACTACCAACCTACGAAGAAGAATGACATTTCAAATAATATATATATATATATATATATATATATATATTACCGCATCACACTCATTAATTCAATAAGAAATTTTAATTTTTGCAAAAAAAAAAATAATAATAATAAGTTTTTTTAATTTAAAATTTTAGAAAATACTAGCTACAAACTTAATAATATTTTTAATTAGTAGGTCCAGTTTTTTTTACCAGCAAACTATTTTTAGTAAAGTAAATTACTACAGGTGAATTAGATAGGGTTTTTCTTTTCTTTTTTTTTAATTTTATTTAATAGGTGGAGATATCTATTTTTTTTCAGTTGAAACATATGATATTTCCAACCAACCATGAAAATATCCAAACTTAGCCACAAAATAAACGAGTAAAAAAGAATCTGAGTTCATTACTAAAATGCCGAAGCCCACTCAAAAAGCATCCACCATTGAAAAAAAAAAGGAATGTTTTGTTCAGTCAGAAAGCAACCACATCTACCTTTTCTTTTTTTTTTTTAATTAAAGAAATTAATACAATCACTGAGTTTACGGTCCTTTCTTTTTTTTCTGGTTAATCTTGACTCTCCCAACTTAATACATACCTAGAAAATGAATTATTTTCCATATTGTTTTTGACGCGTCTCATCATTATATTTCTTCGTTCTCATTACCCACAATAGGGAAAACACAAAATTAAACAAATTTATACATATCTCATCTTTCCAAAGGAGAAAAAATTCCTGAAATTTCCTCTCCTCTCTTTAAGAGAACAAAATATTCGCATAATAAAATAACCACATGTCCCGGGAGATGCTGCTAATTGCCAATTGGTATCAATAATTTAAAGACGATATTCCACTGCCCAATTGATCAAGATTGAGAAGTTGCTCTTCTTTTACTCCTTATAAATCCCCCCATACCCATTTCAAATAACCAAAAAAAAAAAAAAGTAAATAAATAAAGCTTCTCCTCTCCTTCTAATCTTCTTGTTGTTGTGCAAAACCCTCCATGGGAAACAACAGTAGTTTTAATCATAAGCGTGCTAAGGTTTCCTTAAATGAAAAGCAGCTGGAGGAAATTTTCTGGAACCATGATAAGGATAAAGATGGCAAGCTCACCAGAGAAGAGTTGATGAAAGGCTTCACTTTTCTGGATAACAAGTACAAGGCCACCTTCCGAGTCGACGAGGCCCTCCGTGCCGCCGACATCAACGGCGACGGCGTCATAAGTTCGCAGGAGATGAATAAGCTCATTGCCTATGCTAAAAGTCGTAACTATATAAACCCTTGACAACTGAAACTCTACCCGCGGAGTTTTGAGTTTGTGTTT